CCTCATTATTAAAAGTGATCAAATTTTATGATATTAAAATGTTTATTTGACTATATATTACTGGGTACATATAATATTAGTGTTTATTACTGATTGTGCTTTTCTCTAGAACCTTTTCATGACTTTATGAATCATGTTATTCTAACGAAGGACACGTATATATATGAGTGTTCTCCTGAAATAAAAATCTTTCCTATTTATTTCAAACAAGGCCAAATATTCACTTTACATTAGTCAACCAACTATACTATGATTCCCCTGAGCTGCATGGAATGGAAAGACATTTCTCTAAAGCACACAGGAGACAGCCAACTCTCTCTTTGTTTCCTGTGCCCTAATTAATCCATTATATTTTGACATCCTTTCTGCTGAAATGACACTGACTTAAAAACCCCCCATATTTCATGCCTGCTTTGGTGAAAGTGCTGACTAAGAATATTAAATATTGACCCTTTCTTTCTTTATGGGGCAGTTTTTGAGTTCACTTTTCGGTCAGTTTTGAGTCACTAGACTATATTGTTAAGACACAAGGGTGTGTAGAAGCTACAACTTGCAGTAAGAAGACAATGGCTTTGAAAATCTTTTGTAAGCACAGATGACAGTGTAAATGATCATTTTGTTCTTTGGTTTTTATTTTTGTACAGCTGTCTTGTTTATTTTAAAATATTCAAAATATTGTCAGGCAATATGACTTCAGAAAAGTCTAGACATTGCATATGAGTTCATAAAAAGGGTGTCTATGATTTCTCAAGCTTAATTACATTTCCTTCTTTGGAAAATAAACAAAGCCTAAGTAAAACTATATTATGCTAAAAAGAAATAAATTAAAAATAGCCACTGACACCTTGCAGATGTATTAGGCAAGTTCATTTACTAAAATGTTGTAGCCTGAAAACTTTCTAGGGCTCCAGCCAAAAATATTGGAAACGACAAAATAGCTCTAAGGATTGAAAAGATAGGAGATGACCTTCAATTTGGTTTGAAACGATACAATAGCATCTCTAAAAGAGGAATGCTATTGAATAGTGATGTCAACGACAGGGTGTCTTGGCCTAAGTTATGCAGAGAAATGGCTAAATACTTTTTTCCCTA